CTCTTGACACTCAAGTCAACTTTCTCAACCAGATTTATATTCAAATCTCAACACATACGCCCCGCTGGCAGAAAAGAAACTCTCCACTCACATTATAAGGAATACATCTACATAGATTACTCCGCAGGGGATAACCCACCTGCTTAGCATCAAATTGGTATCTTGTTATACCCTTTCGCAGTCACAATTACTATGCAATAACTTAGTCTATCTGAGTCCAAACTCATTAACCAAACACGAGAATTTAATTTGCCCCAAAATTTAACAACTTGAAAGATCTTTCAAAACATTCACACTCGAGATTGTATGTCACATCAAAATGAAAATCAAGCACCCAATGGCCTTCCTTTACACTTCAAGGAAACACTTCTCGTCACATTCAAATCGTCTTAACACATCCCGCAGTTACATCATACTCATCACAAAGCCATTCCACTGCTCATCGAGCCACAAATTTCCACTCGTAGGGATGTTACCAGACATATAAGTCCAAATGTAAAAGTTACAACTGAAGCTACCGAGCTTAAGCTGCGGTTCAACCATGGCCTCAAGTCCTCCAGACTGGCCCATCACCAAAACACATAATACACATCTCGAACCTCGTTCATAAAATCACAAGCCGGCGATGCATGGCTAATACCGAGCGCTCCTGTATGCATACGAATGCGTGGAAGGAATGCAAAGAGTTATGTTTCAAGCTGAATAAATTCCGCACGATAAGGAAAGAAAGATGGGAAGTATATATCATAAATGCCTTGTAGCCTCTCGAAGATAAGTATGGACGTCATCATACCGATACGCAAGACTCTACTAGATACTTGCTCATGACTTGTAGAACCTATGAACCTAGAGCTCTGATACCACCTTGTCATAACCCAAAATCTAACTAGTCGTGATGGCACCTAACTCAACCCGCTAGGTAAGCCAATTATCAACTATTTAATTATATTAACAATTATTAAAGTAGTTTAAGTAAAGAAAAATCTTAATCATATACATTTTTCAAGAACTGGTATTACAAATCATGAGCTTCTAAGAATAGAGTTTACAACACTGGTATGAAATAAGTACATCATCTGTTTTAAAAGTACATAAACAGACTTTTATGAATCTAGGCTACTATGAACAAGAGGGAGCTACAACCGGAACGCAGGTACACCTTCATATCCAGCTCCCAACAAACGCAGCAACATCAGCGGTCAATATCTGCACGCAAGGTGCAGAAGTGTAGTATGAGTACAACCAACCCCATGTACTCAATAAGTAACAAACCTAACCTTAGGTTAAAAGTAGTGACGAGCTTGTACCAAGATCAGGTCCCAACTTCAATAACCAACAATAGTTCATAACAATATAAAACAAGTAATACCAGAAATAACTCAACAATCAAATGCTCAACAAAAAAATATGATTTCTGAAAATAGTTCTGCCTTTCAAGTACATCAATGAAAACCCAAATCGTTTACCGGAGTTGCCAAAAATATAAATAAGTTTGAAAATAATAATTTTCCCAAAATTCTTTCCATAATAAATAAGATGTTTCATTTTCTCTCCAGATAACTAGTGTGAAACAAATACATCACTATGCTCATCTGTCAACATTGTGTGAGAAATCATGAATGATGTGATATCGTACAACATGAGAAAAATACATCTCTATGCATGTATGTCATGTGTGCATATCAATGCAATGTATCTCAGAGATGAACTCATGTACTCACACTCTTAGAGTACTCAATCTCACTTTCTCACACATTCCACTCATCATGCCCAATCACTCGGTACTGTATATGGCCAATCCGGCCCAGGAAAGATCCATCCCAAAATATACACATCAACTGATCATCAATCACCCAGTACTGAGTAGGGCCAATCCAGCCCGTGGAAAAGATCTATCTCCAGGTATATAATACTTCGGACAAGATCCATGTCCAGGGAAGATCCATCCCTCAATAATANTAGAGACTGAGATATGATATACAATGAAATGAATATGACTGAGTATAAATTTTTAATTTAAACAAATAATCACAGCAATATGACCTCTATGGGTCACAATAATACTGGCACATAACCTCGGCATGATTTTTAATATGATTCTCAGCTCAATTTCTTTAACACATAAAACTGCATGAAAAATGCCAAGATTATTTGACTACAAAATTCCACGGAACCGTTATGTCACAATTTCTATGGTGCACGCCCACACACCCGTCACCTAGCATGTGCGTCACCTCTAAACAATTCACATAATAAGTATATTCAGGGCTCATGCCCTCAGCTCCAAGATTAGAAGAGTTACTTACCTCGAACAAGCCGAATCCAATGTCGAGCAAGCTAAATAATGCTCCAAAAATTCAATTCCGCACGTAACAACTCCTGAATGGCTCGAATCGAGCCACAATAAATTTGATTTAGTCAACACAATTATAGGAATTAATTCCATATCAATATTCTAATATTTTCCCACAAAATCTGAAATTACACTCCAAAAATTGTCTGTGGGGCCCACATCTCTGAATCGAATAAAACTCACAAAATCCGACAACCCATCCAATTACAAATTCAACCATACTAATTTCATTCAATTCATACTCCAAATCGATGTTCAAAACTCAAAAATTCATTTTATGAAATTCCAGGAATTTCCTTCGATTTCTCTTGAAGACTCGATAATCTTACACCAAAAATGAAATATAATCACAAAGGAGTCAAGAACACTTACCCCAAGTTGTGTGAAAAAATTTCTCTCCAAAATCGCTCAAACCGAGCTCCAAAATCCGAAAATGGGTGAAAATATCAAACCCTCGAACTTAAAGGGTTCTGCCCAGGCTTTTCGCACCTGCGGAGCCTGGTCTCGCTCCTGCGCAACCGCTTTTGCGGGAACAATGCCGCACCTGCGCTAAAACTCGCTTCTGCGCCCACGACCTTCGCTTCTGCGGGGCCGCAGATGTGCCCCAATTTCCCGCTTCTGTGATTAATTCCAGCCTAGTCTTCCTTCGCTTCTGCGACCAATTGTCTGCATCTGCGGACTCGCATCTGCGTTCATTCTTCCGTAGATACGGAAACACCAGAACCAGCAGCCTTTAGCAATGCAATATGAAATGAAATTGATCTGAACCTCGTCCGAAACTCACCAGAGGCCCCCGAGACCTCAACCAAATACACCAAGTCCTAAAACATACCACGGGCCTACTCGAGGCCTCAAATCACATCAAACAACATCAAAACGACGAATCGCACCTCAAATCAAAATCTATGAACTTTGAACTTTCAAATTCTATATCTTGTGCCGAAACACATCAAATCACGTCCGACTGACCTCAAATTTTGCACACAAGTCATATTTCACATTACAGACCTATTTCAATTTTCAGAATCGAATTCTAACCCCGATATCAAAAGTCAACCCCTCGGTCAAACTTCCCAAAAATTTAATTTTTGCCATTTTAAGCCTAATTGTATATATATATATATATATACAATTTTTGCCATTTAAGACTTCCCAAAAATTTATATATATANTATACCAAACCAATAAAAGTCGGATTTTTTAATCTCGAATTTTTTGGGTTTTCGGGTTTTTTCGAGTTTTTGTTTCATAAAGTCTTCATAGCACAAAACGTAAAATTTGTGCTTCAAATATTTCTTTAATCCTAGTAAGACATAAATATATAAAGTATTTTTTAATAAAATAATATAAATATGAGATGAGTCATGGCATTGTACTAAAATATTCAACAATACAGATTATAAAATCATATAAAATAAATATTATTAATAAGTCATAATAAAAATAAATATAATTTAAAATTACAACTAATAAGTACTATTAATTACATGACTAACCACTAAAAGAAAAATAAGTTATAAATATATTTTATCTAAACCATGAAAAAAATAAAAAAAAATAGATATCTAGCACTATTTTCATTCATAGTACAATTGAATTAAATGTCTTTTATTAGCATTATTATTGATTTGATTTTGGTTTAGGATTTATTTGAGTTACTAACATTTATGGACTATAAAACTTGTTAGAGCATCCAAAAATTATAAGCACAAACTTGAAATAATACGTTAAAGGATAAAACTATGAAAAAACTTAAGAAATATTTATAAACTACACTACAATAAATATTTTTATGTATTAAATATATTTAAAACTTCTATACATATAATGTCGGATTGGTTTCGTTTCGGTTTGACTTTTTTTAGTTAATACCAAACCAAACTAAATATGGTCGGATTTTTTTTCCAACACCAAACCAAATCAAACCAACCCATAGTCGGATTTTTTTTTCTCGGTTTGACTCGAATTATCGGATTGGTACGGTTTGTCGGCTTCATTTGTCCACCCCTAATACACAGTGACAAAAACGAGATTGTCAAGCTTACACTTAACATAAATGAGTTGTCTATTTGAGTGAAAAGCTAAAGTGCAAGTGAAATTTACATTTGAAACTTAATAAGACTACTTATGAAGTTACCTTTTTATGTATATCAGAATAATCATGCCATTGATTATTGTAATTTCGATGAATAATAATAATTTTTCAAACATACAATTTACATTAAACAAATGCCTTTATTAAGACTACTTATGAAGTTACCTTTTTATATGTATTAGAATAATCTTGCCATTGATTATTATAATTTCACTGAATAATAATAAATTTTCTATGCCTAACTAAAATCATATTTTAATTATTTAATTAATTGTATTCCACTGAAAAAAGAAACACATATTTTCGTAATTAGTATCTTTTTCTATGCCTAACTAAAAACATCTACAAGTCAATGTTTTCAAATATAAGTCATAAATTTGTATTGTTTTAATGTTGTTACTTGAAAATTCAATGAACCCGCTCTTTGTCATGTTTACCTGCTCTCATTTTCAAACTTTGACTCCTTAAAGAAAGAAAGAAAGAATATTTTTTGAATTAAAAAGGAAAAAAGAAATAAACAATATTATAAAAAGGCTAAAAATAAAACCAAAGACTCTTCCTTCTCTCCTTGTTGTAGAGAGGAGAATATTTCTGTTACTTTAAGATATGTTAATTCCCTGAAATCTCCTTAAATTCTAATAACTTTTCTGTGGAATTTTCCACTGATATCTTGGAATCTAATTCCTGTACCGATTCCACCTCTTGAAATAAAATCTTTTGATTGGTTCTTTTAAAAGATAATGATTTTTGGTTGGGAGTTTTTGTCTTATAATTTTCCTAGAATATCTTAGGTTTATCATATTTTTCTTAAATTTATTTTCTCAGAGTTCACTTGAAATTTATTTGAGTCAATCTTTTGATTGAAATAAGAGGTTTTACTGTTACAAGTCTTTGTTTCTGATTAGAATTTTTATCAAACACTCAATTTTTAGTTTCTGGGTATAATCAAAAGTCAGATAAAGATTGAATTTTTACTATCTGGATGTTATAAAAATTTAATCTTTTTATTTGGGTTTTTAATTAGAATTTGTTTCCAAGGGTTCTTTAATCCCAGTTATGACCAAGATTAGTGGGACACTTAATAAATGGAGGGATTATTTTCAGACAGCAAATTCAGATATATTCAATGTAATTGAGTATGCTGTAATGGTGGCAGCTGTAGATTATCCAAAAGAATTCAAATTGAGAAGAGATAGAATTGCTGAGTTGCTTTTCACATGTAAAGTAATAAGGTGTTTTGGTTGTGACAAGGTTGAATTAGCAGTACCAAATGCTACTAATGATGATGAGAAGTTTAAAACTGAGTTTGTTAGTGAATTTGGAGCTTGTGATGTTAAAGAAAACAAAAGTAGTAGAGGTGATGATCAGATTGGAATGAATGTGAATCAGATTAGCAATTATAGCTATGGTGAAGCTGAGGCATTGACTGATGAGATAGAAGAAGAGTCTAAAACTGTTGGGGAGGTCCTACGGATCAAAGAGATCATCGATAACTTTCACGTTGAGGTTCATTTTTTTATTCACTTCAGTTGTACTATTTTGCTATTCTTGTTTTGTACTTAGGTTATAAGTTTTTTTCTGGTGTTTTTAGACCTAATGAAGTAAGAATTTTTGCTATTGTGCATGATTGTGGTTTGTCTAATAAAACTTGTGATGATTCTGATATAAGAAGGTCTGTAAAACAATGTGGAAGCCTTCTGATTACGATACTCAGTTTTAGTTTTGTATCTTCGTATTTTTGCTTCGGTTTTATAGCTGGTGTGATTGCTGCTGCCCTTCCTTTTATCTTTCCTAAGCCGAGGGTCTTGCGGAAACAGCCTCTCTGCCTTCTTGTAGGTAGGGGTAAGGTCTGCGTACATACTACAATTCCCAAACCCTACTTGTGGGATTACACTGGGTCTGTTGTTGTTGTTGTTGTTGTAAACCAATGTGGAAATTTCATGCTTTTTAGTTTCATTTATATTTTTCCCAAATTGAACAGGTCTGTTGCTTTATGTAGCTATGAATATTTTGTGATAGTACTAAATTGGTGTTGCTGACATTTGTAGTTTTACTGTCTTGATTGATGAAACTACTAGTTTTAGCTTTTTTTGATTATAGGGTTTTGATTGTGTGATGCTTTTTTGACAGTCCGATTCAGATATATATGAGTGCTTAAGGAGGCTTCAACTGATGGCTTTGTCTGTGGAGACTCTCAAGGTTTGATCTTTTCTGCTGTACACACTTGATCAGAAATTTGTTTCAGTAGTACTACTTACTTTAATCTGACTAGTCATCAGAATTTTTTGATCAGCAATTCGTACTCAACGCATTTATTTTATATTAGGCCACAGAGATTGGGAAGTCCGTTAATGCTCTCAGAAAGCACAGCTCAAATAATATTCGGCATCTGGCCAGGACATTGGTCGAGTATGGAACTCTTGCTTTCTTGCTGTTGAACTACGAAATAAACCCTAAAATGATTGCCAATATGTGTTGTGTTGTAGAAAAGGAAAATTCCAATTGAATCCGCGAACGTGGTTGCTGTAATCTGCTTTGGGAAATACTTTCAGATTCGTGTTATTAAATGGAGTATCTCATTTTGCCCTAGATTTGAACATTAATTCTCTCCCAAAAATGAACATGAGAATTTTGTCATCTGGCGGCTCTTACAGCTCACTTTGCTGATTATAGCTTCGAGCCGTGTTTCCTTTTTAAGGTTTGGCACATTTTTGTCGCTTGTTCTTTCGTTTCATCATCGTATCTTCTTCTATTAAGTTACATAATAGTTTGGATATCACAGATAGTGATGACAGTCCTTACCTTATCTGTGCAGTGTTTAACAAACTACTACTTCTATATTGAGTAATTCTTTATTTATCCAAAGCAGAAGATTGTAACTAATCTCACCCCTTAGCAGTCAACCACTACTTCTGCTGTTTGATGTCTCTACTTCTGTGTTCTGATTGTTGTTATGTATGGATTTGATAGGTTGCTGTTTAGAAATAATAATTGTTCCTATACAGTGAATTAAACTAGAAAAAGCTTAGTACTTATGTTGATTCATTTTTCATGGACACAGGGACTGGAAGATTATGGTAGAGGCGTGGGTGAATGCTACAACAGCCTTTACAGGTTCTTGTTATTTCTGGCCCTCCTTCAAAATTTAGTTTTCTGTAGTCTTTGTTTGCAGTCATTATTGAAGTCTAATGACGTGAGTTGCAAACTATTGGTACAGAGAACACCCCTGAGTCTATGAAAGCGTCTGTTGTTGATGAAGAGGAGGAAGGACTTCCTTCCCCGCCCTTGGACGACTTAGCTTTCATTTCTACTCAGACCACTTCAATGGAGTTTTCACAAGTATGCCTAGCATCTTCCCTCTTTTATACTACAAAATCTTTTATTCTTGCCTCCAGGATTGACACCGACTTGTTTTCCTCATTCCTGATGGATGAAGTTCTTTGATGGCATGGATGACGATGGAAGTGAGTAGAGTTTTTTTCCTTATAATTTTAACTGTAGCTTTTGCCATTCGGTTCTTTTTCTGAATTCTACAGTTATAGATGTATATTAATCTGATTGAGGATTTTACTTTCAGATATTCGAAACAGCGGGGAATTCAACAAGAGCCATGAAAATGGCAGAAAGGACAATCCTGTCCGGAAGCAGCAGTTTGCCGAGAGCGTCACTGCTGCTCCAAAGGAAAGGAAGGTTGAGAAACCAAAGAAACAAACATTAGTTGTCAAACCAAATAAACCTTTCGGATTTGATTCTGGGCCTGGAAGACCGATAAAGCCAACATTTGAACGGAAGCTCAACAATGATGAAATGAAACTCCTGCAGAAATCTGACAAAGGCACAATTCGACAGAGGCATGTGCCTAATCAACAAAATGTGAGTATTTGAAAGGAAGTCAGCCTGTAGTTCATGTAGAGCTTTGATCTCCTACTAACTGTGCATAATTTCGTTGTACTAGAGATTGAAATGCCCGGATGAGGATGCAGATCGTGTGAAACTTGAGGCGACAAAGAGAAAGCTCCAGGAGCGGTACCAAGAAGCTGAAAAGGGTTAGTTTTATTTCAAATTTGTCGCTACTTTAAATGCTGATAGATGTATAATCTTCTTTTTCGTTTCTCATAAAGATAGAAATTAAATGACTGATGCACTGCAAGATCTGATAATAATCTGATGGTATTTCATTATTGTCCTTCAGCCAAGAGGCAGCGGACAATACAGATTATGGAGTTGAATGACATCCATAAGCAGGGTCTCCGCAAGCAAGGTCCTGGTCATAAAAATTTCCATGTGAGACCTGGTAACCATAATAGGCATTGGGCAAATGGGCATCGCTGAATCATTTTTCAACTGACATGGTTTGAATGAAACTTAAAGTTTTTTCCACCTTTGCCAGTCAATCTTGTGGCAGAACACCAGTGACAACTTGGGTTACTGATTTCAACTAGTTACTCAACATATAGTGGATCTCATCTAGTGGACCTCTATTGGGGCATTCATTTTGAAATGTCGTCCAAGTTAGGGAATGTTTAAGTAGACATTTTCCTGAAACTATAGAACAAGGTTTGGCACCTTTGGTCTGAATTTCTTCATCTGCTGGCAGGACCTCATTTGTGCCCCAATTTTTGGTCACCATTTCTTGAACATTAATCGTCCTTTTGTTTCATAGAAATGCACTGACTGGCAATTTGCACAGAATAAGTGCATTTCTCATGAAGTTGGACCTTTTTGTATACAGATCATTCAAATATAAGGGAATACAAAAATTGGTTATACATTAAGTCCTTGAGGACTTATGCAGCTATAACATATTTTGTTCTATCAAGCAATTTGTGTGGCTCTTAATTCATGCATGCTTTGTGTTGACGTAAATGGTGTTGAATAGTGCTTTAAGGCATCCCTTTCCCTGGATTATAGTTATGTTTGAATTAGGGGGGGAATGACACTGTATAGCCGCTTTCAAAATAATAGCAAAAAAAATGTATATTTTTTGTATATATATACATTCTATATTTTATATACAAAAATTATATAAATTTTATATACTTTTTCGGCTATTTAACGTATATAATTTCTGGCGCGGACTAAGTGATAATAACCGTAATATTGGGGGGCGAATTAAGGAAGTCTCCTTTGTTCGACATGTAATTGTTATCAACATTTGTTTTCTACCATATATAATCCGCCACCATGTTCTACTACTTTCTCCCATGTGGCATTTGGTTCAAAAAGTGGAAAATAGTCTGCAGTATAACTTTTCTTTCTTGTTTTTTGCAGATACAGATTTTTTCTTTGGTTGAACATTATTTATTTTAAATCAAACAAGTTTATAATTTAAAAAAGAAACATAAGAAAACACATTTATTGCATCTTATAAACTTGATCACTGTAGAGATGGTAGCTCAAAACTCGAAATTTAAATAAGCTCAGGCTAATATTAGTTTGTTTTCATGCATCAGCATTGTAGAATTCACATGGGAGCTCTATTAATGCTGTAAACAATTGCTTTAGTAACTACTTAAGATACTTCAATAACAAATGTGAAAAGTATGAAAATTGCTTTTTTAATCAAAGTAAGTAAAGCTTTGAATTATGGTCTAGTTGAATTATAATGGGTTATTATCACTTTTAGCCCGCGCCAGAAACTATTTACATTCGGTAGACGAAAAAGTGTATAAAATTTGTATAATTTTGTATATAAGATATAGAATATATATATATATATATATATATATATATATATATATATATTTTCGACTATTATTTTGAGAGCGGTTATACGGTATCATTTTTTCCTCATATTTTGGTATTACCTATCCAACGGTACTAACCTTCGAACACCTCATTTCACTTGTTTAAGGCCCAAACACCCCAAAAAAAAAAAAATAGAGCTTAGCAGATGGGATATTTGCATCTATACCTAGTTTTTAGGTCATCTTATAACTTATACCCGTTTTGTAAAAAAAAATTACAAGTGTACCCACTTTTCGCGTAACTTCAGACATACGGGCCTGAAGTAGCAAAAATTTATGTCTGAATTTTGAACTTCAGAATATTTTGCCTGAAGTTTGGCCCGACTTGCAAATGCAATCACGCAAACTTTAATTCATAGTGCAATGGCAAACTTCAGTTCAATAAAACTACAACATGTTTTGGCTGAAATTTTTGTTTACTAATTGCTGAGCTTCAACATTCCAGGAGCTGAAATTTTTGTTTTGTAATTGCTGAACTTCAGCATTCTAGGAGCTGAAGTTTGTTTTGTAATTGCTGAACTTCAGCATTCTAGAAGCTGAAGTTTTTGTTTATATTTGCTGAACTTTATTCTTAGAGCTGAAGTTCTAAACAACAATGAATTTAATAGATCATGATTAGCAGCGATTGATGCTGTTCATTTCAAAGATTAAAGAATGAAAAATATTTTCGACATGAAAACAAGTTACTACAGATAAATTAGAACCAAAAACCAATGTGCCTGTAAAGCTAAAATATCTAAGAAGTTAAATTATTGTGAATAAGACCAAACTGAACATAATGGGACAAGCAGATATATATGAATCATCAGGTTAGAACGCATAACAATATTTCAAGCTTCAACATTCAGAAAACGAAGGAGGAGAAGGATGAGGAGAAAGAGGCCTGAAATTGTTTAAAAAGTGGATATAAATTAAAACTTTTTAAAAAAGTGAGTATAGGTTAAATAGGGACGACCAAATAGGGCGCCCGTACAATTTTTACTAGCAGATGCCTCCCTTAGTCGTAAAAGAGTAAGATAACCATTTTGAGCTAAAAAGTTGTGAGAATTGAGAACAGTACCAGTTTTAAGTTATGAGCTGTGAGCTAATCTTATTAGCTTATGCATATGATACTTTGAGTTTAAGTACACTTACTTGATAGCACGCATGTCTCATTAAAAGTCAATATAACTTCTGCCAATGGCTTTGAGTAAGGTTCTGCTTGCTAAGCCAAAGGACTTATCCCTTTATTTATGTATTTCAGATTCTAGAGTTGATATAGCACCGAAATCTGAGTTGCATTTGTTAGCTGATTATTTTGCATCTTGATGAACCACACATGTCTTTCCGTGGGAATCGTTCTACTTTATCTTACTTTTGGTTGTTGTGTGATACTATTATGGGTTTTCCGGTTCTTTCCCATTAGATAAAAGACTTACCTCCTTCCGGCAAGCTTCAATCATCAACAACTGTGCTTTCTTTGAAATCCAACACCAAACGATTCGAATCTAGTCAAATATAACTCAATAAAGTCAAATAAAGCTACATGAATTAATTCTAAATAAAAAATTTTAATCTTTAATCAAATCCTCAAAAATCAACTCGGGCCCACATGATCAAAATTCGAGTCTAGGTGTAGATCTCGACTACCAATAACCCCACAAGTCTAGATAAGTGACTAGATTTTAAAATCGAGTCCAAATCAATACTGAAATCCCCAAATTATACTCTCTTAAATTATAAACAAAACCCCCAAATTTCTCTTTAAAATTTCATGATTAAAGTGTAGAAATCAATGGGGAAATGAGATATATTATCAAAATCAAGTAAAAATCACTTACACTTAAAATTATAGTAAAAATCTCTTCCAAAATCGCCTCTTCCCGAGTTCTAAAACTCAAAATAGTGAAAAAATAAGCTAAAACTCGAAACGTAACCTCCTGTCACGCATCCTCGCACTTGTGCAAAATTAGCTGCAGGTGCGACACCACTTTTGCGGCAAAAACCTTACTCGAGTTTTCATCGCATATGCGACCAAATTTGCGCAGAAGCGAAATCGCAAGCGCGACCAAAACTACTGCAAATGTGACCCCCACCAGACCAGATACTCCTCCAAGGCGCGCCCACCACAGATGCAAACCTTCCATCGCAGGTGCGACTTCGCACCTGCGCACCTTCATTCAGAGGTGCGATGCACCAGATATCAGCAATACGAAACAACTCCAAGTGGTCCGAAACCACCTCATAACACATCCGAGGCTCCCCGGGACCCCGTCCAATCATTCCAACAAGTCTAAATACTCCCTACAAAATTGTCCCAAGTCTTTAAACATCAAAAACAACAACAAAACCAAGAATCGAAGATCAAATCCATCTCTTAACTTTTAAACATTCCAACTTTGCCGAACGCGTCCAAATCATACTAAGACATTCCGAATTACAACCAAACTTTGCATATAATTTTCTATCGACCACTAGGACTATACAAGGTCTCAAAATCACAATCGGGGTCTGATAACACTAAAGTCAACTTCCGGTGAAAACTATAAAATTCTTTAAATTGCCAACTTTCGATAAATAGAGTCAAAATCTTCTAGGAATATCGAAAACCAAATCCAAACATACGCCCAAGTCCAAAATCTCCATACAAACCTATTGAAATCCTCAATTCGCGATTCTGAGGTTGTTCACTCAAAAGTCAAGTATGGTCAACTCTTCTAACTTTTCAAATTGAGAATTATTCTTCCATATCAACCGAATCAAAACCAACCATAAATCAATGTTTCAAACCATTGAACGGAATGTTAAAGTTCAAAATGACTTGTCGGGTCGTTACATTTACCTCCTTTATATATTGATGTGAATTTGGCCATGACCTCTGAAGGATAGTTGTATTCGCCGTAGTTTAATTTCCAATGGTTCAAACGATTTATCATTTGGGCATTTTAAGCAATGTTATGATCAATTTGCCAAAAGTTTGATGTGTAAAAATGTATAGTCACTTAAGGCCTAAAGCGCCAAATCTAGTGTCGTGGTGTTGGAGACCAAAGTTCTTGAGTTTTGACTGTAAACCTTGTAACGTCAAAATTGAAGTCATAGTATTGGTCGCTGAAAGAGCGAACTTTGAACTAATCTTCAATAGAGTAATTTAAAACGCTTGTATTTGACGAGAGTTTTTATTCAACCATTTCAAGACTCATGCATGAGGGCACATTGGGTGACAGTTGAGTGCTCTTTAACTCAAAGTGTGAAGAAAGGTTATGAATTCATCCCATAACTCGATATGAAGTAAATGTAAATGTACTGCTACGGTTTGTTATTGTATTTGAGTTGGACTCTTCCAACAAGCTATTATTAGTTATTGTATTTGAGTTGGACTCTTCCAACAAGATTAAGTAGATATCTGTAGGAATACTACTTGTACTTTGTATCACTATATAGAGATGAATAACAACCCATAAAGGGGAAATCCTTCGATTTATTCCGGAAACAGATGATTAATCATCTGCTTCTCACGTTCCGTGAATAGTCGGGACATTGAGGAATATCCAGAAAGGCATTTCGGGAATCGTGGGATGAAACCAATCCGGAATATGAACCATAAAAGAAAATACCTATTAAACCGATTACAAGAATACCTGCTACAGTACCTATTATCCTGTTGGAAAACGTGTCAGGCTAATAGAAGAGAAAAATATTTGAAAGAGAAAAGCAATAAATTGCACAAGACAAGACAAGACAAGATTTACGTGGTTCGGCAATTTTGCCTACTCCACGGTCACACAAAGAATAACTCTTTATTAATTGAAGAGAAGAAGAAAAAGTTGAGGGATGATTTGTAAATGAAAATGCATACCCATTTTATAGGCATTTGAATGTCCTACCGAGGTAAGCGCTTACATCATAGGAATGCCGATGTAAGCGCTTACATCATACGAATGCTGATGTAAGCGCTTACATCATACGAATGCTGATGTAAGCGCTTACATCATACGAATGCTGATGTAAGCGCTTACATCATAAGTTCATCTCTTTTTTATTTTTTTTTCTTTTATTTTGTCTACTTTTCTTTATTTCACATACAACA